AAAAAAAAAACGGCCATCGACTTTCGTTTAAGCAGAATCTCCTGGAAGAGGGACTCATTGACTGCTTTACGAACGGGAGTCATTTTCTTCGTATTTGCTATCCTTGGGAATATTTCATAGTGCTCCCAACTCCCACAGCAATTGAATACGAAAAAAAATTTTGACTTTTTGACTTTAACTAGTCATACCAGTGTAACGGGTCTGTTAATTAAGTGGACGAATGAATTTTAATCATTTACGACAAACGTGGGACAGACGAGTGATGAGAAGAATGGTGAATGAGGGGGGAAAAGTGCAAATAAAGTGCGGATTTATTCAGTTTCATAAGCTAGAATAATGCTGTAGAGCGTTGAAATTTTCCGTGTTTCATCCAAAAGCTGTATAAACAAGCTGGCCCTGGCAGGTGTGCTGAAAAGGGATGGAACTCATCAAGCGTTTGTGTGTATTGGACATTCTTCCGGGTTACATAATTACACTGAATTGCATGAACCCTATTTTTTCGATTTATGACCCAAAAATTGGGTAAAAATTTTTATTTTTTCAGGTGTCGATTTGTCAATACCATCGGTTCCGAAAAATGAGGAAAAAGAGACAGAAAAACATGCAGTACCATCAGCAGTAACACAGTCACCAATGTCATTACGAACACCAGGGAAATGTCGATCGAGCGTACGAATGTCATCGTTGTCCAGCTTACGGATGTCACCGCTACAGCTAATTGCTGCAGTAGCGAGCACCTGAAAAAAAAACGCAGATTTCTGGAAGCGATCGAGCAACTCTGGAGGAAATATTGTCAAGTTTGCAATATATATATTTTGTATATATTAAAATGTTAGTGCGATCTTTTCAAATGAACACACTAACTTTTTTTTTACTTTTTTTTGAAAAGGTCGCAATTTTCTTGAAGTTTTCCAATTTTTTTCGAACACGCGCAGTCTTTTTTAAAGTTTCCGAACATAAGGAAAAGGTTTTCAGGTACTTTTTTAACAGCCGTTCTTTCGTCATAACATGCTATAAATGGAGAGTGTACAGAAGGTTTTTTTTCAAAAAAAAAAAAACACAATTTTTCGCAAATTTTGAACTCATCTGCACATATTTTGCATGCTAAGAATACTGCACACTGACTATAATATAAAAATGTATATTAGTTTTTATGTTGTGTGTTTCTGGCATAATTTCCTTAAAATAGTTCTGTTAATGGATAAGGCATGGATTTTCAATATCATGTTGCCAAGAGCTCTGGGCTCATGTAACTCTTGAACAAAGGAGCTGGAAGTTTTTGGCCCAGATTTCCTCAGAATTGGAATTTCGATGATAAAAATATATGCTAATGAAAGAAACGCTTGGGAATGTAGCCTAGGGTGTCACCACGTAAAAGGCTTCCATAGAATCTGTCTCATACATTTGAATTATCGTTGTGTAATCATCCAGGTCTCTTTTCCTCTACCGTATTTTTTACGAATTTTTGGCGATTTTTCGTTTTCATGCATAGTAGTGCCGCCGTTTCCAGCAAAATTTTTGGATGTTTATTGATATTCGTTTTTTTGGTACTAATTATGAACAGGCCCTCTGATCATCAGTAGTTGACCGGTTCACCATCAGTTAACTGAGTCATTTATCATCAGTCGATCTTTGGATCAGTGAACTTAAGTCACTTATTATTTGATCGATTGACACTAATTCATTGGTTGTTCGAGTTAACTCACTAATCGACCAATAGGTTAACCCTGGTGATGTATCAGATCCATCAAATTTTCCTAATTTAGCATTTTTTCTGTAATGAATTCTGAGGTAGTTTGATTGTACCGCTTTTTTGTCAACTCATCTATCTTAGCAACAAATTAATGCAGTCTTACTAAATCATATTCTTTAATATTTAATCTTCTGTTATAGTTTTCGCCGGTAATTTTCCTCTCAGATGTGGAATTTTCTCCGAAAGTCTTTTTTCTAGAATTTTTTTCTTAAAATTTTTTTCGCCATCGTTTTTCTCATATATTTTTGTCTTGTGTTGTAACTGCCTTTTTTACAAAAGAAAAAAAAAATTGTAATTATGAGTGATTTTAGTGAATCATTCTTTGCTAATTCTTCAAAAAAGGACGAGTTGCCTAGGGGCGAGAGGGGGAGCGAGGAAGAGGCGTGTTTTTCTCCAAATTTTTTTTTCTTGTATATTGGCAGTTTTGTTCTGAAATTGTGTGAATTCTGTTCGGAGATAAGTGGAAAAAATGGCATTCGAGGCAATTTTGACATAGTGGATTTGAGTACTCGGTTGAAGTCTGGAAAATTGCCGTAAATTTTGCGCATTTAGTGTCTCGTCCTTTTTGCGTAAAGTATTGTACAGGATGTATCCGGATGGGTTTGTTGTTGAAGAAATGCAATGGAACAAGGCAGTTTGCTCGGCGTTCGAAAGAGAGTTGGAATCCTGGGATTTTTTTTTTTGTTTTGTTTTAATTTGAACTGTGTTTTTTGTAGAAAATATTTGCCACTTTTTCATTTTGTTAGGTTTAATTTTTTTTTAAAGTGTTGTCTATCATTACAAGAATGTATGTCTTCGCTATATCGGATTTTTGTCATTTCGTCGATGTTATAACAGTTTTTTCCCCATTTTTAGTAATTCTATACGTTTTTTGAAGGGTGGCGAAGAATAGAGCAAAGGAAAAAAAGGCACTCTCCGAACAAATTTTTGGTAATTTCGGAGAATTTTCCAAGTAAATGATAGTTTTTTATGGTTCTTTTTTGTCCCACTGATACTTTCCAGAGATTTTGCGGATCAGTGACTTAGTTGCAACGGCATGAATGCCTTACTGGATATTTTTTGCAAAATTATGTTTCATTTTTGAGTGGCATGGATTTTTTGGATCGAAGGTGGTTGCGCAATTATTGTCTTTACCCTCCTTAACAGCACCGAATTTTTGTGAAGACGATGAAGATTGAAGTCTTTTTTCCTTTTATTTCTCTTGTGTTGAAGAAGGGATGGGAGG